TCTGAAGGGTGCTGTGATCCGAAGGTTCCAACCAGATATATTACAGAATCCGTACGGGCCCATGCTGAGTTTGAGACAAACAGATACCGTAAAGGAATACAGGGAGGAGTTTGAGATGATCATAGCTCCCCAGAAAAATGTAGACAGAGGTATTCTGAGAGGTATCTTCATTAATGGCCTCAAGGAGGATGTTAAGGTCGAACTAAAACTATACAACTCCAAGTCCTTATCTGCCATCATGGATGGGGCTTTGCTGATTGAACAGAGGAATGAAGCTATCTATTTGAAGAGTAAGGGGGGAGGAATTAAGGCAAAAGGTGGGAATACCTGGTCCAATAATGGAGGAAAAAAATACTACGGATAACAAAGGGAAACAACCCTGGTACACCCCTGGAGGGGTAAGAGTGACTGAAATCAACCCCTCAAGGATAAAGCGAGTAGGACCCCAACTGTCTCAAGAGGAATACCAAGACAGGAGTAGGAGAGGACTTTGTTTCAAATGTGGGGAAAGGTGGAGTAAGGAACACTCATGTAAGTTGAAGAATTATAAGCTAATTTTAGTAGAAGATTCAGAGGGTGAGGAGGACCAAGAAAAGGGTGAGGAAGATGAGATTAATATGGAGTCTAAAACCATGCAACTTTATGTGATGAGTAGGGAAGGGATACCTTCAATGAGATCTTTTAAAGTGCCAGACAATCTGAAATGGGACCAGGAAGAAGTACCAGTAGAAGTATTAATTGATAGTGGGGCGACCCATAATTTCATATCACAAAGTTTGGTGAAAAAATGGGGAATACCATATCAGAACATTTCTGGGTACAAGGTTCAGATCGGAAATGGGGATAACATCACAAATAATGGAAGATGTGAAGGATTGGACTTAAGTTTGCAGGACACTATTATAAACCAAAAATTTTATGTACTGGAGTTACAGGAACTGACCTGGTGCTGAGTATGGAATGAATGACTGGTTTGAGGGAGGGAGTATCATTTAATGTATCGATTTCCTCCTAGAATATTAGTTCCTAATTACCTTTATTCAATCTTTAACTAACATAAAGATGATCTTTAAAAAAAACTAACATAAAGATGTTGTTTTTATAAACTTTAACTAAGTTTGTACTAATATCAAAATTTGATAGGAAAAGCTTAACCTTTATGCGCCCTTATAAAGGAACCATTCCCCAAACCCTCAAAGGATGTCCTCTAAAAATAAAGCTCAATTATTATTTTACATGGTCTATTAACATTTTTGTTACCATAGGAATATATTGGATGTAATAGTTACGGAGTATTATTTAATATTATGAGTACTATGGTTATACTTTTGGTAGCGTGATCTCGTAGTATTAATAATAATATATCACACAATTATACATGGCTTTCATTTAAATACTCTGTACTAACTTTTTATTATAATCCTAATGCCGATTGCGGCTGTTTTAACAGGTGGGTACATTTTTTACTCCGTATATAACAACTCTTTTCATAAGGGTTACCTTGTGTTTATAAATATAAAGAATTGCATAAATATAACTTCTCGACTTTTAAGAGACATAAATGTGACAAAAAATTGAATGGACAAAAAAGTGAGCAGGGCAAATCTCCCACGTCTCCCGTCTCTTCTTCTCCAACGCTTCCCTTGCGTCTCACTCTCACCCGCGCAAAATTTTTTCTTCTCTTCTTCTCCTCTGCGATTTTCTGCCTTCCCCTCCACTAATGTCGCCACAATGGCCGCACATCGCTTCCCATCGCCTCTCCGGCCACTCCTTCGCATTGTTGCGCCTCTCTCAGATCCGGGGATGGCGGCGGCTAGGGTTCGATCAGCGACGAGTGGTCGGGGCTGGGATGTTGGAGGTCGGGCTGAGAAGGGTTGGATCGGGGTTGTGTCATTCAAAGCTGTAGCTAGATCTGGGGAGTGGGATGGGGCTGGGACAGGGTAGAGGATCATGGGGGCGGGGGTGGGCTGTCGGAGGTGGGGAGGGGAGGGGTTGATCGGGGCTGGAACTAGGGGAGTGGTCTGGGGGTGGGACAAGGGGCGAGTCTCATGGTGCCGACCGCCGGAGCTTAGAGGCGGGTTGTGGTAGTGGGATGCCGCAGTTGCAGGGGCTAGGGTGGGTTGTGGTGGTGGGATGAGGCTGTTGCAGGAGGTTGAGCTTGGGGCAGGGAAGGACTAGGCATGGTTTTGGGGAAGTTGTGGTGGGCAGGGGCAGACCCACCCTAGGGCTAGGGGGTGCCCGTGACCCTGCAGTGATTATATATATATATATATATATATATATATATATATATATATATATATATATATATATATTATTAATTCTTATTAACTTGAGTCCCTGCAGCCCAATCCCAATTCCTTCTTTCCCTTGTCTGCTCGGTCCAATCTTGTTTCCCACTCCCAGGCCCGCAGCCTAATCAATTCCCGTTCCCCCCTTTGGCCCTTTCCCAATTCCCGTTCCCCCCTTTCGTCCTTTCCCACATCCCAATTCCCGTTCCCCCCTTTCGGCCTTTCCCGACCCCTGCACGTGAGAGGCGAGACGCCGAGACGCGACCACGCTGGCACGCCCAGTCGCCCACTGCGGCACCACCCACCACCCACCGCCCACGCCAGGAACTCCCCGTCGGCTGTCTGCCTGTCTCCCACAGTCCCACGAAGCTGACGAAGGCAGCCAGGTGGCCCAGGCACTCAGGCAGGCAAGGCAGCGTGCTGCGAGCGCCGACTGCCGTCTGCCTAGCAGCGACTACTTCGTCTTGCTAAACTATACCCAGATGATTTTAGTTCAAGAGAAAAATTTGAACTAAATGAACAACTTAGGATGTTCATTACATTTGTCAAATCATCTCTACGATTTTCAGGCCTACAAAGTATTGGAGATTTGGCAAAAACATTGGTTGAAACAGAGTGGCACACAACTTATAAGTTAGTGTACCGACTCATCCAATTGGCATTGGTTTTACCCGTTACAACCGCCACAGTTGAAAGATCTTTCTCAACGATGAAGTTTATCAAGAATGATTTGCACAACAAGATTGGAGAAAAATACTTGACAGATTGCTTGGTGTGTTACATTGAGAAAGATGTATTTGTTAAAATTGAGAATAAAGTCATAATGAGGCGATTTCAGAGTATTGCACCTCGAAGACAAAGATTGCCGCCTCTCAATGATTGTCCTTCATTTGCCGCGTCAGGTTCTAATCAAAATTAAGGTACTCTTTAAGTAGTTGTTTTATTTAAATTTTATAGTTTTGTTTATTGCTATATTCGTGATGTCTATGATTTTTTTTCTAGACTAGTATATCATTTCTTTGTTAATTGTGCCCCTGCGAGTCACGTGTCCTGGTTCCGCCACTGGTGGCGGGGGCTGGATAGGGGCTGGAGGTTGGGGCTAAGGGGGGCTGGCTCGTGGTGGTGACTGGCGGTGACACCATCGGCAGCCGAGTCAATGCGACGGTGGCAAGGAGATGGAGATTGGTTGGCAATGTTGTTGGTCACTGGGCGGCGGTAGTGGCCGGGTAGGTGACTGGGGAGTCAAGCCGGGGGTGGGGTAGTGGTTGGCGGCTGTGGTCCAAGGTGATGGTCGGCAGCGGTGATAGGGCGGGTAGGCTAGTGACAAGGGTTGTGAGGGGCCGGGGAAGAATGGGGCAAAGTGACCGGAGTCGTCGTGTCACTATGCGCGGTGTCACCGGTGGCGGTAGATGTCATTTTCACCCGAAAAAGTAGTTGACAACGGCATAGTGACATGGTTAACGGGCACAATGACACGTTTGACGGCGGAAGTGACATGAAAACAGTAATGACATTTAAAAGTGACACGAACACCGACAATGACATTCAAAAGTGACATAGAATCGGTGACATAAAAATTTAACAGTGACATAAAAATCTGGCAGACAATGTTTTTCCAAATATATGACCCTTTGGTCGCATTTATGTCCTTTTGTAAAACTGGTCACAATTTTGGAAATTGACTTTAATTTAGTAATATTCAAGGCAAAAGCCCTTATAAATATGCCGGACCGTGTGAAATTGCGATTGACCGAAAAATTAATTTTTTCAATCTTCTCTTGCCTTACTAAATACTAATATATGCAGCGTTACGTTAGTATTGAAGTGTTTAGACCACTTATATATACAAATCACTTATTCAATGTTATTTTATCTCATACACCATACATCATACACTTCTTTTTATCTCAAAAGTTCTATCTTGTAATCTGGTTACTGTGATAAGGGTGGATAAGAAACTTCTAGGAAAACGTATTTTATACGTGACTAGAAGTGATAATGTGATATACGGTTTTGCCATATTTTACACCCTTATATTTAACTATTTTTATCCGCCAGTTCTAACATAAATAATGTTACTTTTTCATTTCTTCATATTTATAATAAGAACGAGTCAACGAGATAGAGGTAATTTTCATTGTCAGAGTTAGGGTAGTGTCCACTCTCCATTGATCCAAAAAAGGTGGAATCTCTCACCCCAGGAGTCCCCCACCCCGACCCGACAGAATGGTGGGGATGTTAGTCACGGTGACTCAGTCAGCAGAATGGCAGTAGGCCCATACACCAGTGCGCACCAGAGGTCCAGCCTTATTTCAGGTAGTGTCCACTCTCCAGTTATCCGGTATTGGAAAGGATCGGATCCTGTTTTTTTACAATGGGCAGCCTCACAATGAAATAAACACAGATTCCAAATAAACTACTCCCTCCGTCCCGGAATTATCTTCATACTTTCCTTTTTGGTCTGTCCCAAATTTATCTCCTCTTTCCCTTTTTAGCAAAGAATTTGTGGTTCACAACCATTCTTACACATTCTTACACATTTCTCTTTCCTCTGCACAACTCTCCACCACACATTTCGCACTATCTTAATCTGTGTGTCATTTGTACTTCAGGAGATAAATATGGGACGGAGGGAGTAAAAGCTACTAAGATGAGCCCAGCATCCGGTAGGCCTTATCAACAGAAATAAAAGAAAGTATTAGAGAAAAAGGTATTAAAAAGCCATTCCTTTTATTTATTATTTCATCACCAACTCACCCAAAATACTCTCAAGAGTGGAGGGAGACTAATATTTACATCTTACTCTTCTCTTATGGAAAGAGAAGAAACAACAACCCATCCCTCCTTCCACATGACTATAATGAGGAGTATAATTATCCATTCATTCTATTTCTCCCCAGCTAGCTACTTGTACAAACACACTCCAAGCTCAGCCAGCCCAATCCTTCAATGAATGAATTGAAGAATAAACTACCTTGCTTCTCAACATCTATCCTCATAATTAATGTACAAAACTAACATACCATTTGTATAACAAACATTGGCATGTACAGGACCTGCTTATTCTCTTCACTAACTACCTATAACTCCGCTTCTTCCATCTCCATAAATAAATCCCCCCTTCTCCTCGGCCAATTGTCTTCCCCGTTCGTCGCGAAGAACTCTACTGATAATTCCGCCAGCTTTTTCCCGTTTAACCAAGATGTTGGTACCCTAAATTGCCTCAAAGGTGCATTTGGGGCTTCCACTTCATCCACCACATCAGTCCATTTTGATTTCTCAGTGCAGTTTCTGTTCTTGAAGCCAACAGTTTTCCTTGGTGTGCTATACTCGAAATGCCACTTCTTACCAACTAATGTCTGTTTGTCATCACATTTTCAAAACCATTAAAACAAAAGAAGTGGAGAATACACTAAAAACAGTCACAGGAATGGATTTAGTAGTTTCCAAACATAGCCACACATACCGCTTCTCGAATTCCCTTGGACACATGAAACAGTCTCTTCAAATCATCATGTTCCACTCCACATACTATTCTGATCTGCAAATGCATTTTATTTTACCGAACTCGACTTTTCTTTATCAAGCACGACTCGATCTACCCAGACTTGAGCTTGACTCGCTTTGAGTCGCTCATTTAGCCAAGCATGCCACAGCCAAGCTTGATTCACATCAAATACACACACACACAAATTGGAGAAAAGGGTTGAAAAAGCCATTCCTTTATTAATTATTTCATCATCAACTCCTATAAAATACTTTCAAGAGTGGAGACTAATATTTACATCTTAGCTGCCTCTTATGGAGAGAGATGTGACTATAATGCCTTACCAAGGAGTATAATTTTCATTCATTTATTAATTCATTGTATTTCTCCCCACTAGCTACTTGTACAAACACCCCCGCCCCCCAAGCTCGGCCAGCCCTTCTCGCTCCTTTAGAGAATGGATTGAAGATGAAATTAGCTTGCTTCTCATTTCTCAACATCTAACATCATAATTAATGTACAATGACTACCATACCATTTGTGCAACAAAGAATAGTATGTACATCGACTACCATACCTCTGCTTCTTCCATTTCCATAAACAATTTCCCCCTTCTCCTTTATTTTCTAAATATCCATGTCAAACACCGATGTTTCTTGTATTTTAACGGTCATTAGTAATGGTGTACAAATGAAGTTTTTGAAATTTTAGCTATTTAGCATTGTGAATAACTTTTTTTCAGGTTTTACATATGTTGTAAAAACTACTTTGGTTATAAAAATAGTGCAGAGTTGGAGTACTAATTAGTACTATGTAATATGTTGAGACGAACTATGAATACTGAAATATATACACATCAAAAGTTGTTAGATTTCGAGTAAGACAACATTCAGAAGAGTAAGATTTCAAAAGAATAGCCGCATTGACATATATTCACTCCCTTCTATATACTTCGTCCCTTTTTCTCTTATGCTCTATCCATTGTATGTATTGGTTAATCTATCTAGAAGCTGTTCATCAGTAGTGCCTGAAACGAAGCTAGGATTCTGGTGGTGCGTATCTCTGTTCAGTGCATATCCTCCGCCAGGTCATTGCACGGATGAAGACCCAGGGTCTGGTAGTAAGAAACAGGACACAGGATAAGTCATACACATCAATTTCTCATGGCCCATTTGGATGGAGGATTTTGAATGAGAAAGCTTAATCTATATCTTCAAAAAAGAATGATGCCAAAGAATGAATAAAGTGTGTTTGAAATGTTATATGTTCCCCTATTATGTTATTGTTCAGCGAATCTTATATATTTCAGGAATATAGACCTAGTGCTCCTAAATCCTACATCCAAACTCACAAGAAAGGGTCTGTTTGGAACTTGGAAGGAAGCTTACTAGAAGAGAAGGTTTTGGAAAGCTAAATCTATATTTTTAGATACTTAAAGCTACATCATATGTGACTATAGAACATGTCATCCAAACATATTTAATAACATGTTGGACTCAATAGGTCTTGATAATTCACATGCCACCTACCATATTGAGCTGCAGGGTTTATGTAAATTGCTTCTTCTGGTCTTGGGTGTGGTGCAAGATTTGTTGGTTGTCCTGAATGTATATGTGCTTTCATTAAATCCAAACACCTTTGTGCCTCTTCCCTTCCCTGCTCTGGAAATATAACCTTAAAACACAACAGCATATACCGCAAACAACATAAGATCACCTGATGAGCATACACATAAGGTGGTCAAAAGATAGTGGTGAGGGGGGGGGGGAGCATGAGACGAGAGTATATCGCTTGCACCACAATTTACCTCATCAAAGTATTCATCTGTACAAGGCATGTCTTTGCTCGTTGGTAAAGAGAAATTGACTGCAAATTACAAATCACATCTGAGTGATGCAACTACATATGGAATATCAACTTATTACATAATTATATACATATAACACTACCTATCATCTCATCTACTGGTTCTTCACAAACTTCATTACCTTTCGACCTCATTTCTTGGAATTGTTTATCACTACGCATTTTGAGCTCTTTAAGTGCTGGAAAAATGACGACAGCGATCTAATAAAATGTCACATAACCAGCATGACAAATGTCAAGAATGCTCCCACTCACAAGCTTTGACTAATCAAATATAACTTTATACTAATAGAAGGAATTAGAGGAATAAGTGTACCTTTTTATGCTTCGAGAATGACTTCAGTTCGCACTTTCGATCAATCTTATTCAGATTCATTTTGTCGAGTATAAAATTACGGGGAAGCTTTGAAGCCCTGGATAAAAGAGTGTTAAAGATCTCACCTAACATCTCACCGTAACCATACTTGCGGGTCAGACCAGGCACCTAAGGGGATGAGTAAAAAACATCAGTTAAGGCCAGTGTGGATGGGAGGGGTTTGTAGGTTAGCAATATACACTTCAATGACCTTTTATCAATTCAAAAAAATTACATTTAGTACTTATCAAGGTAAAGTCTAAGACCTCCAAACCCCTCCATCCAAAAAGGCTCTTTAAGATTGGCATCTTAAATAAATTTTCATATTAATGTGAAAACTGATATTATAAAATACCTTCATTTTGTCAAGCATTAAACTTTTCCCAATCACAATATAACGCTTGCCGGGATAGTCCTTCACCCTTTTCTCTGCCCAAGTACTCTTGCCTGAAGCGGGTAAACCCACCAGCATTATAAATTCATAACAATGAACATCTGAGAATGTTGGGCCAGAAAATGCTTTTTCATCTTCTAATGCAGACGCCCATGGCTTATACCCTTCAACGACATCTAGTCCATCCTCCACACTGAACTGTAATCTAACCACAACATTTTTCAGTAAAATATGAGGGAAAAAAGCGGATCGCCAGTTTGGATGATCCTCAAATTGTTTTGCCACTCCCAACCATTTGCTATTCTTGAAGAAACCGATTGATGCATTATTGGAATTTTCAAGGTCAAGGCAGCAGATTATTTTATCACCAACTCCAAAACTCTCACCATATTCAGAACAGCTTCCAGCAGTATAGGTATCTCCAGTTGCTTCAAAACAAAAACTATGCAAGCTTTCTCCAAGGTCCCCAACAGGATCATCTTCCCATGAAACACCAATTCGACATAAATGTTGTCCGTCTTGTGTGTTGTACACCATGCTTACAGGTTGATCTGAAATGACTTTGCAGCCAAAGCAATACTTCCCTCCAGTTATTCCAACATTCGCGCGAGCACCAGACCAACACCAAGCAAACGCATTTCGATAAAGTGCTGAGCCTTGGAGTCCATTGTTTTCTATATCAAAATCTGGAGGGGGGGGGGGGGGTGATTGCAGTGCGTTAAGTAGTCAATTTAACATGAAACGTGTACAGTATTTATTTCAATAAGAGGAAGTCTAACGAGTTGGTCGACCAGAGAAACAAGACTCTCAATTTCTATTTTACCATGATCAGACAGTATGAGTTCTGCTTACTGGTTCATCAAGGAAAGCAAAGAAAATAATCTAATAGCCGTAGTGATGGACAGACTTATTCAAGATTCAAGGCAAAATGCCAATAATTAAAATCGCTGGACTAATCGTTCAAAGTTGCAAATCGAAACCCTAGAACACAATAAAGAAACTTCTTTTGCACTATATTCTTGAAGCCAACATACCTTATTAAAAAGATCACTCTGTATTATTTATTCCATCAACAAATGGAAAAAAGTACAGAAACGTTATAAGAATAGCGAAAGAAATGTTGATACTTGCCTAACTCGCAGTCGGCCGGATTAAGGGCCACCGGTGGCAAATGGGCGGTGAGAGACGGCTGGACATGGGCGGCGGTAGCATCCAACTTGGGTATTTGACTATCAACAACTTCATCCGTGGTTGGGGATTTTCGTTTAGAAGACGCCATTGTAGGGTTTTCTCCACTTAACTAACGTTGATCCTTACAGCATATGGAAGATACAGAGAGATAATTGAGTTACTTTCAAGCTTTCTTTTCAGGAAGGCGAACTTTCTTTAGGAAGACGATTGTACCGACTTTAGTTATATGAAGTCTGTTTAGTTGTTACCTTTAGTAACAGAAAGTTGGAAAAAAATGTAACGGTAAGATTGTTTGATATAGTTATTGTTAAAATATACTCCGTACTAGTATGAGATAAGTTGTAGCTAGAGGTATCAACAAAACCCATCAAAATAAGGTATTTTGAATACTTTCCTATAGGATATTGCACTGAACATATACTACCTTTGTTCCCTCTAAAAAAATAATTGGATTGGGTGGCTAATTGCATTAGCACCAGGAAAGATGATCACGGCAGCATGTTTGTGATGGCTCCATGGGGGGCATTTGGCATGTGAGAAATGCTGAAGTTTGGGAGCAGAAACGACCTATACCAGCGAGCTGCATTGCGGCAGAGGCAAAGGATATGTTGGAGGGGTGGCGCAACCGCGCAGGGCCCAGGAGGGTCCTCATAAGGCGGCACAACAGCGGGGTAGCTCAAGGGGCTGGTGTTGGAGGGGTGGCGCAACCGCGCAGATCATTTAAAGTTGAATACGGATGCCGCGGTTAAATCCTGGGGAAGGCAGTGGCTTGGGTTGGGTAGTTTGTGACAATGCTGGTTCCTTTGTAGCACGAGGGGTAAGCGGAGGGCCTCAAGGATGTTCTCCGTCGATGGCAAAAGCTATGTCAATAAGGGAGGCACTCAGTTGGCTAAAAAAAGTTGGATGCAATGGGATTTTATTTAAAATCTATAAAAGCTTAAAGTACAGAGTAGTGAGACTATTATTTCTTGTGATTCTAAAATGGGTTTTGCCTAAACTATTACTCCCTCCGTTCCTAAATAAACTTCCAACTTTCCTTTTTGGTCCGTTCCAATTAAATTTCCACTTTCCCTTTTTGGTAAAGAATTTGTGGTTCACAACATTTCTTACATATTTCTCTCTCCTCTGCACAACTCTCCACCACACAATATCCACTTTTCTTAAATTGTGTGCCAAAGTGGGTTGGAAGATAAAATAGGAACGGAGGTAGTACTAAAAATGGATAGGTAGAACAAAAAGTGACCTTTTTTAAATTTTTCCAGAGATGTGACCAATAAGTTTTAAACTCACTAAATTATCCTTAATTTGCAGTTACTTTATTTTATAGTTACATGAACCAACACAGTGACATCCACCGCAGTGACCTCATCACAGTGTCGCCACCACCGCCGCTTGGGGACCGTCGCCAACTGGTGACCATCACCGGCCACAGTGACACCTCCGCATAGTGACGTTTATGTAGTGATACCACCACAGCGACTTCGGCCATAGTTACTCCACTCAGTGACCAACATTGTCCGGCAAGTAACCACCACCGTAGCAAAACATCGCTGCCGCCTACCGCCGCCGCCGAATCGACTCTCCAGCCACCTAGCCCACCTCTTCAACGCCTCCAGCCACCTCCCCAGCCACTCCTAGCCCCCAACCACCTCCCCAGCGGCCAAAGCAATGTACTCCGTTCATTTCAAAATTATTATGCAAATTTGAATTGGAAAGAGACAATATTGTCATATCATCACTCCTATTTAGATTCCTTAGATGGAATCCAATCATTTTCTCCCTCACCCCAAGGCGCCAACACCTCTCAATTTAGAGGCCGTTTGATGTCGCCAAAATCTCGAGAAAATGTAATATCTCTTTTATCATCATTTCTTCTTCCTTATTTGATCTTCATTTCATCACTTGCGTTGGAATTCCTGGGTTCACCAGCATGAGACTGATTGTCCCCTTACAAGGCGTAGTTCAAGGAAGAGGAGGCTTAATCTTCGGCTCGCTAATCCCTTGTGCTCTCTTCTACTTTCTTCAGTTCTACATTAAACGACACCGTTCGATTCCATCTTCATCTGCTTCGAATCCTCCATCGCCGTCCGACTCGTCCACCGACCTGGTTGAACTACCACGGACATCTTCGCGGCTCAACTTGTCCGGTCGCGGGTCAATCGGGCGGACCCACATCTCCTCCCGCGCTAGCTCAATTGCAAAGCCCAACGATTCTGCTTACTATATTGGATTAGAGAGGTTCCAGGAGGATCCGTATGATGAAATCGATAACCCAGACGGGATTATAAATCTCGGATTAACTGAGAATAGGGTATCGTATTACTACTACCTACACTCATCGTCCAGTTCGTTCATTTTCAGCTCATTTTTAAGTTTTAGTATTGAAATTCAATGGTTTTCTGCTATTTTCCTTCTTTTACCGTTCAAAGTTATCGCTGGATTTGATTGAGAAGTGGCTTTCGAACAACTTCTGCGATTCTGCACTTGGAAGTATTGGTTTGAATATCAGCGGAATTTCTTCCTATCAGCCGTTTGATGGACTGTGGGAGCTGAAACTGGTAATTTATATAATTAAAAAAATGAAAAAAAAAAAAAGCTCAAAGCGTTCTCGTCAATGATCTTGGATCCTTTAGCTAACAAATTTTATCATGTTGTTTCTGCTTCAAATTTCACAAATTATGATCTTTAGAGAATACAATTGTGACGGAATCTTTAATCCTTTCAGGCCATGGCAGATTTCATGTCTGAGGCAATGGGAAGAGCAGTTTCATTTAACCCATCGCGAATAGTATTAACCTCTGGTGCAACTCCTGCCATTGAGATGTTATTCTTTTGCTTAGCGGATCCGGGGAGTGCTTTCCTCGTTCCTACACCCTATTACCCTGGGTACTACTAATACCTACGCATTTCTGTTTAGATTCAATTTTATTGTAATAAATCTTAGTTCATTCGTCCCATTTTATGCGTCATATTTCTTTTTCAAGTTAAAGTTAAATCCTTTTTGAAATTAAAGTTTACACATTTAGATACCACTAATATTTTCACTGATCTGCAAAACTAAATTCAGGTATGTTTAAATTTGTTACACAAAGAAATTTTTCAGGTTGACCTAATGAATATTAAAAGTTACCATTTAAATGAGACAGAGTATACTAGTATAATATTTGAACTCTTCCTTTTAAAAAAGAAATAATGATTGTTCATGTAAAGAACCATAAACCTTAAATAGATGATCAATTTGCAGGTTTGATAGGGATGTCAGATGGAGAACTGCTGTGGAACTTATTCCTGTACATTGTCGTAGTTCAGATGACTTTACACTGAGCATGGCTGCTCTTGACCAAGCATTTAACAATGCCAGAAAGCGGGGTCAAAAAGTCCGTGGAATACTCCTTTCCAACCCTTCCAATCCTGTTGGCAACTTCATGACTAGAGAATTGCTATACAATCTATTAGATTTTGCCAGAGAGAAAAATATCCATATAATCTCTGATGAAATATTTGCTGGCTCTAATTACGGTAACAAAGAGTTTGTAAGCATGGCTGAAATTCTAGAAGAAGAAGAAGACTCCGACAGAGATAGGGTTCATATCATATATGGACTATCTAAAGATTTTAGCCTTCCGGGTTTTCGGGTCGGCTTAATATATTCCTTTAACGAGAATGTTCTAGCTGCTTCTAGAAGGTTATCTAGGTTTTCGTCAGTTTCTGTTCTAACACAGAGATTACTAGTCTCAATGCTGTCAGACACTGGATTTATCCGGGATTACCTAAAGGAAAACAGAGAGAGGTTGCGAAGAATGTATAAATTGTTTATTGCGCAGTTAGATGAACTGGGGATTGAATACATGAAGAGCAACGCAGGTTTGCATTGTTGGGTGAACATGAGTACATTAATCAATCCTTACAATGAAAAGGGGGAAATTGAGTTATGGGAAAAGCTATTAAGTGTGGCTAAGATTAATGTGACTCCTGGATCTGCTTGCCATTGCATCGAACATGGATGGTTCAGGTTTTGCTTTACAACGTTACAAGAGAAGGATGTTCCTTTAGTTGCAGAAAGGATAAGGAGAGTAATTGTAAGCTGTAGACCTCCAGCTTAAATTATTTTAGGTTTATTTTCTATTTTTAATTGAAAATTATATTTTTTATGCCAGCTTTTATAGTTTATCATTTATTCCTGTATTGATGATGTAGACAGGATGGGTACAAGCTTGGTAGTTCTTAACATTTCATTGCACAATAGAATCTGGAATGTGTTCAATGGTTTCTTTTAATGCTTTAAAGGTCTATAAGGTAAACTCCTACGAAGTATTCCACTCTTGGCCCCTGACTGTACTTTTCCATTTTTGGCCCTTTCTGTTCATGTATTCGAATGATGGGTGACCAGAAGTACCATAACTGGCAAGAAGCATTAGTTGTGCCCCCAAAAGTGCAAATAATTTAAAGTCAGATCTAATAGGAAATGGGGTATTTTTCATTTACAATGCACATATAACCAGTTTTTGGTGCTCAGTAAACTGAGCCATGTTTCAGACTATTTGAAGAAGAGCTTTAGCTCCCTCTTCCATTTGGTGTGCAATTCTTCAATTCTTCTTCGAACTCCAAGCACACAGCATCCAAGAGCACTCCCTGTGAGTTTCTGTTTCTGCCACAAAGGAGGGTAGTATGTAATAAAAATGTTCTATTCTATATTGTAATTTGTAATACTCCATATTGTATTGGTACTTTCCTTGTGGACATATATACATATAATTTATATGATTACGATAAAGGCATAAAGCAATATGCAAGTCTGTTTGTTTGTATTTTTATCGTGTAGGATAATAAGCTGTTGTGTAAAACTTTTAGGGTCCGTTTTGAAGGGAAGAAATGTTGGGGGGAACTGTGAGTATAAATTTATCGATAAGTTAAATATTTGTTCAAACTCATTTTATTTATGTATATCTATTACATAAGAGTATAAGACTAAGAAATCTAAGTTCCGCACTCCAGTCATGTTTGGTGGATCAAGTAAAATTCTAATTGGGAACCAATGCCAAGGAATGTTAACTTTTAAGTTTAGCTTTACACTAAAACGTAATAGAAATTAAATGTGACTGTTTGTTGAATTTTTTTTAGAATTTAATACGGAGTACAAAAGGGTTTGTGAAGTCATCTAAAATAAATCTATGGTGTTTGAATTTTTCCTTTATTTGCCGTCAAAATTGTCTGTCTTTCTGATTTTAGGTATTTTTGGTCCTGTTTCTTAACATTTTACGGGATCAAGACAGACCCTTATAAAAAACTCTAGTGTCAAAACTAAGACATGCATGAGAAATGAAAGAGTAGATTACCATTGGCACTCTGTTTCTGCATTTGGTTAGCTTTTCTCTGGTAGCTTCTTCGTCGGCTCATCGTCATCAGCTCTTCTAGTGTTAGTAATGGCTTGCTCGCTATGATGACGAAATTACCCTTAGACTGTGGCTGGACCTGGATGCTTGAAAGGGGTGTTCCTGGTTTGTCCTCCCACTGAAAGGGAATTGAAGGTATGAGCTTATCTGGGGGAACAAACTTGGGGGTATTTGAGGGTTTACATTTAGCAGATTTCCAATCCTTGTTTGCTATGCCAGGTCTTCCTTCCCAAACAAATGGAACAGAAATTTGGTCCCTTTCTGTCATCTTTGTGATCTCAAATTCTCAATGGCTCATGGTTTGATGAAGGAAAGCTTGCATAAATAAGAAAAGAAACTGTGAACCATAGTGAGTTAGAAGCTTCTCCACCTAATTTTCGAACGATTTAACGTTCGAAAATGAGGTCAAAATGGTTGTCTTGTTCTAAATTGGGATATTAATTGGATAAGGATGTTTTTTTTATCCAATCCAAGAAGAAGACATCAATTCATAGCAACTTTCGGTGTTCTTGTAATTGTCATGTACCTCTTAGTCGGGACAGAGATAGTAATATATTCTCCTTAATAAATAGACTAATATCTATCCTATTATTACTATATGTATATCCACAACATCAAGCATATTTTATCCGTAACAAATTCACATTTTCCTTTTTGGGTAGGTTCAATATAAAATTCACACTTCTTCTTTTGGCAACTTTTTACTATAAAGTTACCCTTATACCCTTACTTTATCACATACTTTACCCCCATTTTCTCTCTCTCCACTACACTTTATCTACTTTGTTGGAGGTCACAATAGGAAAGTCAAAACAAAAAATTCCACTTTCTTAAAAATCATGAAGTCAAACTATGAATTTGTTTTGGGACGGGAGTATGGGACTCACGGGAGGGAGTAATTTTTACAAGGATGTTGAATTTTGTACGGCAACCTATCGTTATTTGGATAATTTATATGGACATGGCTTAGCCTATAAATTTGCAAAACAAAATTCATGGGTAAAAACTAAACATACGGTATCATTATAATCATTGTAAAAACAGTATAAATATAACCACAATGTTAAATCGAGTATCAGTTAAGTCAATTAACTACTCTTAGTTCATATTAAAACATGCACATTTGTTCCTTATTTTAGTTGTCATACATATCTTATCACATTTGTGTTGCACACGTTTAAGTGATAATTAGTGTCTTGACAATACACAAAAATGATCAGGTCAAAACTACTGGAAATCTGAACAATGAGATTATAGATACTTATTGAAATGGATTAAAATGTAAGAAACCTGACCAAAAGTTCAAACTTTTAGACAAATGTTAAATGTAACCGAGAACAATTGTCTATGCATTATTTTCTTTCTCACTCCATACTATAAATCATGTTTAGTTAATACTTAGTAATCCAAGGGGTTCAATCCTTTTGGTTATTAGTTTTCCCGGTGCCCCAAGCTATTTTGGATATGATTGTTTCCATTTGTAGGATCTTTCTATGGGATGACAAACACTCAAAAGTGGCTTGGGATGATATTTGCTTACCAAAAGACGATGGTGGGGTTGGCATTCACAATGCAAAGGTATGGAACGAAGCTCTACTCACACAGAGCCTTTGGGATGTACACCAAAAGAAAGATACCCTATGGGTAAGGTGGATAAATGGTGTATATCTTAAGGATAGAAGTGTGTGAAATTTTCCCCACACAACCCTGGCTCTCAACTAATGAAGAAACTTAGTCTCATTCGAACTAAGATACTTGGACGTTTTAACAACCTTAATGAGACCATTATGTGGTTGAATAGCCGATGTATTAATGGAAAACTTGTGTCTTTGAAGGTTTATGGAAGATAAGCAGGTTTCCTTTTCGAGTGCTTGGCGTGAGGCAAACTGGGTCGCACACTTCATTGCGGATCAAGCTTCGGCCCAATTCCAACATTTCTCTCAGCCCGAATTGCTTCCGGTCTGTGCAAAGAATGCTTATTATATGGATCTCTTCGGGATTCCTTCTCTTCACATTATGCGTTAATTTTTTATATTAATACTTTATTTTGTTGTATGAATTTTGGCCTTGTAGTACTTCTCTATTTTAATATTCTGGCAAATGTTCTTCGGCATTTGTCTCACTGATTTTGGTGGTTTGTCTTCCGGACTAAAAAAAAAGTTTATGATCTATTGAGGACCGGGGGGGGGGGGGGGGGGGGGGGTTATTAGGACTTGGATGAGCTTCATTTGGAAGTACTATATCCCACCCAAATTTTATTTTAATGTTTGGTTAGCTTTTCGAAACCGGTTACCTACAAAGGATAACCTCAGTTACCTTTATATTGTTAGTAGATGTGATCTTTGCAATGGTGGGTTGAAATCTACCCCACACCTATGTTTCCTTTGTCCATTTGTAGCTAAGGTATGAATAAGCATAAGGAATAGATTGGATTGGAGCATCAAATGACTACCCTAGCTATCTCGGTTAAATGGATCTTGAAGAAGCTAAGCATAAGGGAGCAACTTTGAAGGCTAAGGCGGTTCCCCTTGCATTTTGTTCTACCATTTATTGGATTTGGCATGCTAGAAACTCTAACCGATTTGATGATGCCAACAAAAAGGAAGAAGAAATTGTGGCAAAGATTAAACATGTGGTGTATAAAATACTCTTTAGTATTTACCCACATGAGATGATTGAATTCTAACTCAAGTGGAATCCAAGTATTTTTTGTATGCCACGGGCTAGCTCATAGAATTAATTGGGACATTGTGTGTGCATCTTTCATCACTACATGAATATTTTTTTTACTTTTGGGCGCCATACTGTTTTGGGCAGTAACATAGATTAGATGGCAAAACCTTTTCTTGGAGGGGGGGGGGGGGGGGATATTAGATTTTGTACACATGTATTTGTTACCTTTTTCTTGGGTGTTAATATATATTTACATTTCATCCAAAAAAAGAAACATCCAAATGTTACCCCTAGACAAAGACAATCAATGTGTTAAGGAACACATATTCTAAATAGTTTTGCCTTGTTAGATTCGTTGAACTGGACTTCATCAATAAACTTGACACTAAACCAATTTGCAATACAAAATGCTATCAAATTAGGGACAACAACTTAATTAGTGAAGAATGACCAAATTAGAGACGATAAATTTACCTTGAGAAATTTATCAAAAAACTTATTTAGGGAAGGACCTCCTTTGCAATAAACATGTTTTGTTAAACAAATATGGCGTGGATTCAACTACTAACCAGATGGTGCCAACTATGGAGCATCCTCTAACGTAAATGCACCACAAAAATTTCCTTAAAACATTCGGAGTATTTGATATTTTTGGGAGAGAAATGTGTGAGTTGGAATAATTTACGAATGACATCCCGCCAACTGTCTAATGCACTAAAGGAGTTCCCAAGGTGCATGCACCATAAAATTTTCCAACAAAAAATAGTTTCGTGACACATAATATGCTACATTACACGTTGCCTTCCATTTTTCGGCTACGATTGTTCAACGGAGTTAATTATGAAAAGGAAACAAATATTAATATTTCTGAATGTCCAAAAAGTATCGAATGGTCCTGGTGCAAAATTTTAAATCATTGATGGCATATTACTGTTGACCAAAGGAGTCAATATGCTTTGGATGATCCTATTTTGTCACGACACATTTTGTATGATTTGCTTGGATTTTTCCAACCTCGATTGATTGTGAATTAAACATAGACGTTGTTGCGCCTAAGGGTTTACCAAAAGAAGGAGTCAATATGCTAGATTATCAATTTTCAAAAAACATGAGCTACATGTTGTAACATGACCGGCCTATTTAAAGTTTCCAATTTCAAATTTATATTAATACTTGATGGAGTTTAATTCCAAAAATGAGAGATTAATCTACGACAGCGGATAACATTTAGGCAGTGTAAGACAGTATTATTATTCCGGAATGCAGATCCCTTTTAAGGTATGTACATGAAATATTTATAGAACTTCAGGTTCTAGTATTCTAAGAGGAAATGGACACATTTAATGAATTTAATCATAATAAGAGTCTTGTAACGTGTCGAACGTTGTGCAATCATTGTTCCTATGGGTCCACGTTTATTTTGTTATTCTCTGTTGTTGCCAGATAGCTATGCTCAAATGATAGCTTTCCACGTAAGTCCTAGGATGAGTCTGACATCACTAAAATCTTGCCCATGCTCGAGGTTTGCTATCCAGACTGGCCTGATTGTGGGTTCCTTTCGCGGGTCGGTATTACGCCCGACAACTAATATTATTCATTAGTCCCGAGTAATGGGCTTCATTTTATTTCGTGCATGGGCGATGGTTGCGATCCATGGTACCATCAATACTGATTAAAGACATGAACTTTATAACTCGTGACCTTTAGATTTGTACCGTTATGTGTTATACTGCTTTTTTTCAATTCCGAGAACAAATGAAAAGGTATCAAATATGTAATTAAGAGATCTCAAAAAACATACTTTCAATTGAAGCTAATAATAAATAAATTACATCAAACTTATAAATATTACAAACAAGCTAAGGGCCCCATTGAGGTCCCCAAAAAGCTAATTAAATTACAATTTATATAAGTAAATGTGAAATTAAGGGATGTACAATAAGTAAATGTGAATATGAGTAAAAGCGTAGTATAAAATACGCTTATTTAATTTATATAATAAATGAAATTGAAAAGTTAAAACTTTTTAATTTGTAAAGGGATGTACACTTGTAATTATATCCTCACATTGACTGATTTCTTTTTATGATGCACACACTGCCTGACTTTTAAAACGTTAAAATGCTAAACAGTGGTAAAATAGCATTTGAGGAAACTCAAACAAAATTTGGGTCAATGATTAAATGGACGGCTGACACTAAACATCGGTAAAATAAAACTTCAGAAAACTCAAAGAAAACTTGGGTGAACGATTAAATAGTAAATACTACTAGTAGTAAGATATTGTTAGGGGCACGGTAGATCATCTAAATCCTCTCAGTTCGGTCGCTCGGGGTAAACCCTAAATTCTTCTGCTGATGGGATGATGATGCCACCTTTCAATGAAAGGCTTCTGAAGCTACCACTGCCAAAGATGGAGCATCATATGCTGATAAGAGGCAATGTCACTTTTAAAGAGATCAGGTGGCCTACCAGGTTTATAGGCAAAGCTGAAGAACAGGGACACTGTAAATATCACAATTCTTCTATTTCATTCCATTCGATTTTCACTGTTCATTATTTTCCCTTTTTTGCGCAAGTGGTGTGTGCATTTATCACTTCCATTTGATTTTCATTGTTCATTATTTTCACTTTTTTGGGAAGTGGTGTGTGCATTTATTACTTCCATTCGATTTGCACTGTTTATTATTTTCACATTTGTTTGGCCGATAGTGTGTGCATTTATCACTTCCATTCGATTTGCATTGTTCATTACTTTCACATTTTTTTGGCAGGTGGTGTGTGCATTTACTATGCCATTGCTACCCACAATGAATGCAATATTCAGAATGGAATGTGCCTGTTATGGTCATCTTAAGGGTGCACACATCGTGTCTGTTTAGCATCTTATTGACACTTTTTCTGAGGAAGATAAAGAATATTAAGCTGTCCCACACCGGTTGTGTATAGAAATACAAACCAACATATAAAGCCTTGGGCTACTACTTCTAACAAGTTGACCATTTAGGATGAAACCTCAAGTCTTAATATGGTATCAGATCAAATTAAGCTCCAACAAGTAATTAGATCCTAGTAAGCCTCAACAACGAGCACACGGACTGCAAGATTGGTCTGGTCCAACGAGCCACCATCTTGCGGAGGCGTATTAAGCTGTCTCAGATCTGTTGCGTATAGAAAGACAAACCAACATATAAAGCTTTGGGCTACTTCTTCTAACATATTGACCTTTTAGGATGGAACCCCAAGTCTTAAGGTTGACCTTTTAGGATGGAATGCTAAGTCTTAATATGGTATTAGAGCAAATTAAGCTCCAACGAGTAGTTAGATCTTGGTAAGCCTCAACAACGAGCACACGGACTACAAGATTGGTCTGCTCCACTAGCCACCATCTTACGGGGGAGTATTAAGTTGTCACACATTGGTTGCGTATAAAAATACAAACCCACCTATAAAGCCTTGGGCTACTCCTTTAACAAATTGATCTTTTAGGATGGAACCTCAAGTCTTAATAAAGAAGAAGACAGCAATCTTTTCTATGACTTTCTAGCTTCTTTCGGTCTTTTTTCAAAAGAGAGATACTCTAGATTAGACGACGACCAAGGTTTATGGAAGAGTAGTTAATTCTTCCATTAACCTTGCTTCTTCATTTATGCTAATTCGCATAACCCTTACTCCATTTAACCCTTACTCTTCGGTCAGCCTCTCTGTCTCCCTCTTAAGCAACGCCGCCAGCCAAACCTAACATGGGGGCAACTTACTGCCAGCTTCAGGACATTTAACAAAGCTCTCAACTCTATCCTTCCATAGTCATCTCCCGAGGGATCACATACAAGTATTGAAGTATAACATAATTACTTTTACCTAAAGATAGAATCATTTTAAACTATATCAACATTCAGCAGGCAAC